GGGAGACAGAGGGGTACATAGAGCCAGAGACAGGGCAGCATGAGGACTCAGCCTGATGTCGCTGGCTTTGACCGTAGAAGGAGGCCACAGGGCAAGGAACACAGGCAGCATCTCAAAGATGGAAAAGGCAAGGGAGTGGATTCTCCCCTGGAGCCTCCAGAGGAGCCCAGCATTGCCAATACCTTGACCTTAACCTCAGGAGACGTGTCAGACTTCTAACCGGCAGGACTGTGAGAAAAGACCTTGGTGCTGTCTTAAGACAGTAAACGTGTGGTACTTTGTCACAGCGACCATAGGAAACCAATACCTCCGCCAAGAGAAAATGAATAGTTGGGATTGCCCAGCAATGCAGTAAATATTATATTGAGGTCGTGCTACTCTTGTGATAGAAGATATTTAGCCAGAAGGTAGCTCCACTCCGGGTGCTGTAGAGAGCTGTGCATCTGGAGCTGGGAGAAGGAGCGGACTCTGTGCCTCGTTCGTACTTAGGGACCCTTTCTCTTGCGGTAAAACGGGTAAAGATTTCAACGGAGGGCTTAGCCCCTGGCCTTGCCCTCCTCGGTCACGTTCAGAAGTGTCCCTTCTTAATACTGCAGAACCTGACTGATGGCCAACATTTTAAACTGGATCATCCCAGAGGAGATGATGTGTTTGAATGTGGGATTTGTGTTCAGAAGTTCACTAGTTTTTAGCTGTTTCTCTCCTTTTTGGTATTTGTTTGCTTTTTTAAAAGCCTTTGGTCATTTGAAATCTGAATACCGGTAGATAGAAATGGTTTCTTTTTCTGATACCACCTCCCTCCCTCCCCTTTTCCTTGCTTTCAGAAAGTAGATTTGCTTGACCCCCTGATTTGGGGGCTGTAGGGGCAGTGAGTCAGTAGGGTGGGTACTGAGTTCAGCTCTGGTCCCAGGCTCAGTAGAGATTGCCTTTTTCGCTGTGGTTAATGCTGGCATTCTTTCTGGGATATTACCTTTGTTTGATGGAGTTTCCTGCCCATATTTCTTTCTGGAATCGTCAGTGTCATCAGCTGACAGATCATCTTTCACATCAATACCTCCTCCCAGAAAATTCCTGAAGAGCAGCTGTGAGATGGTTGGATGGGTACATGATTATTTTCCATGTTCAAGGGTAACTGCAAAACAGTTGTTCTAGCTAATTGGTTATTTACCATTCAATTGGAAACCTTTTAAAATCTAACCCATTAAATGTACACCAGTAATTAAGTGTAAACTCTTTCAGGAGCTGTAGAAAAATAAAGCAAGATCATTAAAAAACTGCCCGTGCCTCTTATTTGTATGAAAGCTAAAGACGCCTACAGCCCAGCAGTTCCATCTCTGACAACCACCCCGCAGAAAAGCTGTACCCATGTGTTCTTCAAAGGCATCCACGAGAGTGTTCATCCTCGCGCCTCATAATAGGTCCCATTTGGAAACAACCCACTGTCCACCAGAGGTGGATAGGATAAATGGTGGCCTTATCCATTCAGTGAATACTCTGTAGTCATGAGAATGAATGAATTGCGCATATCAATATTGATGAAATTCAGACATACAGTGCTGAGTGAATGGAGCTAAACACAATGGAGTAAATACTGTGTAGAGCCGTGTATCCAAAGTTCAAAAAGGCAGACCAGAGCTAATGCCTGCAATTGGAGGCTGGACAGTGGTTACTTTGGGGAGGTGACAGGATGATTGTGATAGGAAGGAGCAAGATGAGGGTCTCTTCTGTTTCTTCTGGGTGCACCAGCATGTTCACCTTATGGAAGTGGATTGAGTTGTGAACATGATTTGTGCACTTTTCTGAATACATGTTATACTTTACGTGAAAAAGTCGGCCTCGACAACTTTGGACTCACCATTGTGGGCATAGTTCCTGGAGGCAGGTTTTTTATAATGTGTGCTCTAATGATTTCATTTTTGATGGCTCATATGACAGTTTGTATGACAGCTAAGCTAAATCATTCAGGGAATACTCAGGGGTCCGGACGATCAAAGGCAAGGTGGTCTCAAGCAGGCTTATCTGACCTTGGCTCAGGCGGTGAGGGGGTTTGTGTCTTTGGAAATTTTAGAAACTATGACAAAACTATCTAAAACCTGTTCTCAATATCACAGTGCCCCCGTAGTTCGCTGGGGGCTGGGGAATCCTTCGTTGGTCAAGTTCTAAGCAATTGCTGCAATTAGTATTGGGTTGTCATTTCATTCATACATAGACATGTATGAGGAGGCTTCAAAATGTTCATTAAAAGTGGGATTAAAAAACAGTCGAACTTCAAAATGTTCATGGGATTTATTATGAAAAAAATTATACATGCTGGAAACCACAAGGTCATCAGTTAGAAGCCACCAGCTGCTCCTTGGGTGAAAGATGGGGCATTTTACTCCTGTGAGGAGCAGAGCATGGCAGGAATGGCTGTGGGGTGCCAGGCGAAGCTGCATAATGACTCCCCTGCTGAGAGCTTGGTGGGGGTGGGATGGGGGGGTCAGTATACCTGGTGTACCTGTGCCTGACTGGCAGGACTGGGTAGCCTTTTGGCCCTGGAAGCTGCAGCACCAGTGGACCTGGCTGCTCTTAGGCTTGAGTAGCTCAGATGTAGATCTTAATGGGGGGAGAACTGTAACCTTCACTACCTAAGCTGCACTTTTACAGAGCCAAACATTAGACCTGTGCATCTGAGAAAATGCCTGCCTGGCTCTTTTGTTTTTGTGTTTTTTTAGGATTTGTGTTCCATATACAATACGAAAAAAGCAAATTGTGTGGAAGCTTACAACGTTTATGGACAAGTACAAAGGAAAGCAGATTGGAAACAAGTGAAAGGAGCCGTGCACTGGCTGTTAGTAGCGATTAGAAACCCCTGGCATACGTTTAGGGCTGCAGTTGAGTACTGACTAACTTGGAATTTCTTGGCACATTAAGGTGAAAAGGGGAATATAGAGTATAAGGTTCTCATATGAATACAGTTTTGCCTAAGCAGATAGACATTTTCCTGGTGCTAAGTTCAAGAAGGAAATTCAAGCTCAGGTGTATAGATATATAATGTCCCATAGCCATTCCAGCCATATGTGTCAGTGTGATGCTCAGCTAACGTTAGAATCTGTGCCAAGTTCTCGAGGTGGTTAATGCTTGCCGCTGCATTAAACCAGCTAGTGAGAATGTTCCAACCCCACAGAATCTGAAGTCTCAGTGAGCATCAAGTCACCCACCATTCAGTCACCCACCATCCAGTCAATGCTGACAGACAGCAACGCTGTGGGACAGAGCAGAACTGCTGCTAGGGGTTTCTAAGACCAGAAACCTGCAGGGCAGTGGAAAGCCTCATGTGTTGTCTTTGGAGCGGCTGGTGGTTTCAAACTGGTGACTTTGCTGTTAGCAGCCCAATGCTTAGCCCACCAGGCCACCAGATAGCCTCTGAATGTCTTTCAGGGAGCCCTGGTGGCATAGTGGACATGAGTTTGGAGTTTGAATGTCTCTCTGCACCTTCGTTCTTGCTCTCAACGTTCTTGCTCATTTACTCGGCATGTAGTGGTCAGAAGGGCTTTTGGGGGGCAGATCTGATTGTATCCTCTCACGGGCCACACCCCCTCTCCTGCGAGTCAGAGCTGTTAGAATGGAAGACTCAAAGCCTCCCACCCCATAGCTATTCCCGTCATGCTCTGCTCTGGCTCCCTTTTTGTTGTTGCTATTCAAGCCCCTGCTCGCCCTGTGAAGGGGGTGCCTCTCTGCTAAGCAGTCTCCTTCCTTTGAATTGAGCTGCATCTTGGGAGGCTCAGGACCCTCCCCTCCTGTCCCCAGTACCTGTCTCAGGACTGTTTCTCCCTCTCACCAGGGAGCAGAGACAGGCTCAGCTTTGGCTCATAGTTGCCTCCCCAGCGGCATACACAGTGCCTGGTGGGCAATAGGGGCTGGTTGATGCTTGCAGGAAAGGAGCTGTCAGCAGCCTTGGACCTGCAGCATGGTTGCAGTATCTGTGGCACCTTCCTGAGAGATTTCCCCCTGAGGCACAGGGATCACATCCCTTCTTTACCCAAAATGTTCAAAGGCCCCGTTTCCCACCGTTGCAGTCCACACCCTGGTTTTAGCACTCGTGGTTTTGAATGCATCCCTCCCCGTCCGTCCGTGACGTCCCTGGTGGCACACGTGCTTACTCTGCTTGGCTGCCAAGGAAAGGCTGCAGGCTTTGGTCCACCCAGAGGCATTGAGAAGAAAGGCCTGGCAGTCCACCTTGAGAAACCGGCCATTGATACCCTGAGGAGCTTGAGGTTCTTCTCTGGCTGCATGGGTCACCTGGAGTTGGAGGCCACTGGACAGCAGCTGGCTTTCCTTCGTCCTAGAACAAAGCTCTTCAGGCGCCCATCCTCCGTGTCCCCTTACCCTTCTCTGCATGTCCCCGTCTCCACAGTCCATGCCCCCATCCCTCTGCCGCCTCTTGCATGCTGCCTCCCCTTGTCTGAACTTGGAGCCCGCCTTTCACACGCCCAACTTCGCTAGCTGAGCTCCAGCAGAGTTACTCCCATAGCATATCTTACCTGTGAGTGGGCAGCTAGGGCCTGTACGGGAGGTGTGTGAACTGAGGACAGCGTGCATTTTTCCTCGGGTACTCTGCGAGCCAGTTTTAACTGGCACCGCTGCCACCCCGCAGGCTGTGGTTTTAAGCTTCTGTTTCTGAGGGGAAACACATGCCCAGCGGCAGAGCCTCCTCTTCCTTTAAAAATCCCGCTCGGAAGACCTCATGGGTCTCTGACTGCAAGGGGACAGCTTTGTGACATGCCTACATGGAAGCAAAATGGAATAGTGTGCCGTCCATCTGTCCGTCCCAAGGGAAGGCTGCCCAGATCCACAACATTTGACCAATGAAGGATTTTTTTTTTTTTTTTTTTTTTTGCGAGCTAGGTATCACCTCCCGGAATCACACCTGCCGTCCACTCCACTCCTAGCGGCTGGAGGCCATACCCTGACCACTCCTGGGCTGAGACTAATCTCCACCTGCATTTGCTTTTCAACAGGCGGATTTAAACTGCAATATCCAAGATGATGCCGGGGCTTTTTATGGCGTGACCAGCCAGTACGAGAGTTCTGAAAATATGACGGTCACCTGTTCCACCAAAGTTTGCTCCTTTGGGAAGCAAGTGGTAGAAAAAGTAGAGGTAAGTTGGCCGGTCTTCTGAAACCTTGGTGCAGAGGCATGCCTTGCTCTCTTGAAGCCAGCAGTGAGACCGAGTTTTCCTTTTGTGATGTCTCCTCCCTCCCACCGATTCCCGGTGACTTTAAAAAAAGACACAACGAGGCATCAAGGAACAAGAGATCGTGTCGTTGTAAAGGTGGGTGAGTGCAGAGTGGAGACTCAGAGTCCATCGGTTGGCAACTGAACACCGCCCTGCTGAGGGGTTTTGGGGAGGAGACGAGCTAATCAGGGTGCAGAGTAGCAAGGATGAAACATATAACTTTTCTCTAGTTCTTTAACGCTTCCTCCCCCCAATAGCATGATCCCAATTCTGCCTTGCAAATCTGGCTAGACCAGAGGATGAACATTGGTACAAATAGCAACTGGAAACACAGGGAATCCAGGATAGATGCCTCCTTCAGGACCAGTGGTGAGAGGGGCGAGGTCTGGAACGTGAAGGGAATGTGGGGTAGAAGGGGGGAACCAATTACAAGAATCTAAGTATAGCCTCCTCCCTGGGGAATGGACAGCAGAGAAGAGGGCGGCGGGAGACGTTGGACAGTGTAACTTAGGACAAAACTATAATAATTTATGAATTTTGAAGGGTTCAGGAGGGAGGGGGGAGGGAAGGGGGAAATGAGCAAATGATATTGAGGGCTAAAGTAGAGGGCAAACATTTTGAGATTGATGAGGGCAACAGGTGTACATATGTGCTTGACTCAATGGATGTATGTATGGGCTTGTGATAAGAATTGTACGAGCCCTCAATAAAATAATAATAATAATAAAAAGACACAACCATCTGAAGGTCCCAGGTGGAAGGAAGGTCGGGAAAAAGATGAGGCTTTCGCCTCCTGTAAAGAGTTCACGGTCTCGGAAGCCCACGGGGGCAGTCCTGCCCCATCCAGTAGGGTCCGTAGGAGTGTGGTTTGGTGCAGTGGCCGCCCTCGTGAGGGAGAAGGCAAGCAGGACACGCGGGACCTGCCGACTCTAGTCTGTGTTGCCCTGCCCATAGTGTCCACCTCTGCATGAGACCTTGTGGGGTGCCCTGGATGGACGCCTGAGTTACACACAGAACTGTCACCTCCCCCAAACAGGAGGGTCCCAGGGACATCCTTCCCACCCCTCCCCCAGGTCCCAGGGGACACCTGGGCATTGTTGATAGGCATGCAGGATGGCCTTGAGCACCGGCTCCTGCCCCAGGAACCCCAGCACCTGGAGTCTGAGAGTGCTGCTTTTGCCATTCAGACACCCCTTGTTTGAATGGCTTTGTTGTTCTGAACATACCTCGTTAGGGAGCGCACTGCCATCAGGTCAGTTCACTTCCAGTGACTGTCAGACAGGGGTCAGTCACCTATTTATGGCTCTTAGATTTTATGCCTCTTCTTTTAGAAGAATGCATTTAAAAAAATCATTTTATAGGGGGGGAGGCTCTTACAAATCTTATGACTATCCATCATTCAGTTGTATTAAGCACACTTGTACATATGTTGCCATCATTTCCAAAACACTTTCTTTCTGCTTGAGCCCTTGGTATCAGCTCCTCTAGCCCCTCCCCCTCCCCCAAGAACGCCTGCTTTCGTGAGAGTGGTCGCTCTGGGTGAGTCCTGTTAAATTGACATTGCATTTAGAGTTGGACTTTGCAGTGTGGATGGGTGTTCCGAGGGCAGTTTGTAGTTGACATAGTCCCGTGTCACGAGCCTGGCGGTGACAAAACCATGATGTGGAGGAGTGAGAAGGGGCGTTGGAGGCAGTGGGGTGAGGCCAAGGGTTTTTTGGTTTGGGGGTTTGGATGTTTTTTTTTAAAAAAAAAGATCTTGGGTGGTTCAGTGAGGGTTTGGGGATGCTGCAAATGCTCAGAGGTTCCTGGGTACCAGAGGGGCCTTGTGAAGATTGTGTTATGGGTGGAACATCCATAGAAGGAGCCCTGGTTGCCTAGCGGTTACTCGATGGGCTGCTAACTGCAAGGTCAGCTGTTTGAAACCAGTAGCCACTCCGAGGGAGAAAGACTCCTCTAAAGAGTTCGTCTCAGGAACTCACAGGGGCAGCTCATTCTACCTTTTCCTATAGGGTTGCTAGGAGTCGGAGGCACCAACGTGGTGGCAGTGAGTTTGGTTTTCGGGGTGTGCTGACAGAAGAGGGGCTGGGCGTGTGGACTAGGTTGTCAGTCAGGGCTCCATGTGTCATAAAACCACTTTACGAAAGCGAGTGTAGCCATCATTCTGAGCAGAACCTTGAAAGTACTAGGGTATTAAAGATAAAGGAGAAGAGGCCAAGGTTGTACACTTGGCAGAACAGGACTGCCCCCAGCAGAGAGAAGGAGAGCGTCCCAGAGGAGGTAGCCTGTGGATCTGGAATTTGGGGGAGGCAGGACATTCCAGTGAAGAGTGTTACAGCTGTGGGCGTCAGGTGTGAGTGGCAGACAGAAGGGGAAGACGAGTGCTGGGCTAATCCAGGTTCATTTGAGGATGGCAGTCACTGCCGGGGAGTAGAGGAGTGCGTGCAGACGGAGCTGACAGTGCAGGAGCGCTGGAGGGGCGAGGTGAAGAGGGGAGGGGAGAGAGTATATCTGTACAAAGAGGCAGAGGTGAGAGACCTGGAACCAGGGGGCTTTCTGCTGTGAAGGAAGAAGCCATTACTTGTCCGTGGTTGGGAACATGGTAGGTGAAGGCTATGTAATGCTACCATACAACTGAGTCATGAAGGATACTTTTCTGTACATGAATAAAAAACAAGTGTGTGTGCGTGTGCGTGTGTGTGTGTGTGTGTGTGTGTGTGTGTCTCCTCACACACCCCAACTGGCTTGTCAGTGGAGAGCAGGGAATTTAAGTGTCTGAGTTTCCCCAGTGGGTCCTTAGATACTGGTTCTCAACCTTCCTAATGCTGCGACCCTTTAATATAGTTCATGTTGTGGTGACCGCCCCCCCCAACCATAAAATTATTTTTGTTGCTACTTCATAACTGTCATTTTGCTACTGTTATGAATCGGGTGACTCCTGTGAAAGGGTCATTCAACCCCCAAAGGGGTCTCGACCCACAGATTGAGAACCACTGCCTTAGATACTAAAACAACCCCTACACACACACACACACACACACACACAATTAGTTCCTCACTGTGTCTTTAAGGTTTTGTAGGGTAAAGTTGGAACAAGTGCCTATGGTTTTACCTTAGCCTGCTGGCTCTGTTGGGTAAGCATTGGACTGCTACCTGAAAAGTTCGAACACCCCAGCCGCTCCCTCAGAGAAAGATGAGGCTATCTAATCCTGTAAAGATTGACAACCTGGGAACCCTGTGTAGGGTCACTGTGAGTTGCTTGATGGCAGTTAGGTTGGGTTTGGGAGCTTTCTCTTTCTGTAAGGGTAGCCGTTTCAGAAACCCACAGGGCAGATCTGCTCCGTCCTATCGGGTCTTGGAATTGGAATGGAGGGGGTGGCGGCAAGCTTGATTTTCTTTGGAGTGCAAGAAAGGGGTCAGAGGCTTGTCAGTGATTCACAAGTTGCAAGGGCAGCAAGTGAAGGTAATTATGGTGGAGAATTAGTTTCAATTAGGAAGGGCTGACTCCAATCTTTTCTAAAGCAAACAAACAAAAAATAAATAAACCCATACTCACGGCATCACGTTATTGTCTACTCATAGCAGGGTAGAAGCGTCCCCTGCAGGCTTCCGAAACTAAATCTTTACAGGAATAGAGAGCCTGATCCTTCTCCCACAGACCGAGCAGTTGGTTGTTTTGAACGGCTGACCTTGCAGTTAGCAGCCCAACACATAGCCACAACAGCTCCTAATCATTACACAGTGAGGGCAAATTTACATTATATATTAAAGAGCAAGTAAACCCACCCATGAACTTGGAAGTCAGTAGCCAACTGTGCATCCAAAGCTCTGTGCAAGTTCAGGGAGCAGAGAAAGGTTGATTTTGATGGGTTAAATCCAAGGAGTTTTCATGGAGGGACTAATATTTTGGCAGGCAAAATTCCGTATCTCTTGATTCTTTTGTATTTGGTATGAAATGGGAGCCTGCTTTTATTTTCTTTCAAATCGAGAGCATTTGTGTCAAAGTCACTTATTAAATGATTCATCCTTTCCCATCTAAACTGATCTGCCCCTTAAAATGACCAAATATATACTGGGAGTTCCTGGATTCTCTGTATACTGTTCCAGTCACTCTCCTGCTACAATGTTGATTCAGTGACATTGGCTTTATAGTATATTCCCTTACGTGCCAAAGCAAGTCAGTCTCATTCCAATTTTTCATATTTGTTCTAAGCAAGTGACCAGCAATTAGTATTACAAATAATGAAATCATTCAAAAATGTAAAATGGGGTGGAGCATGTTTGGGCCATCTAATTGAAATTGCATTAAATTAAGCTATTAATTTGTAGAAAATGGATTCATTTTTGTTGTTAAATCTTCCCAACCAAGAACCTTTGCATTTCTATCTTGTTTCTTACACACACGCACCCCACACACCAGGGGGTAACCCCCCAAATCTCTGCTGGGTGGAGCTCTCATAGTACACATTTTTCCCGGTAGGCAAGCATCAAGCAATTCTCTCTGAGCTAGTGCACCCAGTGGTGTTGCCTAGGAAGGTTCTCTTTGGTCACAGTGAATTTTTTCATAAAAGCACTTTTGCTCAAACCTCGTTTTTTGTGATGGCTGTTTCAAGAAAGAACAGTGTGTGGCTATGAAATTTTCTTTCCTGCTCAGGAAAAATGCCACAGAAACTGTTGTGATGTTGAACAGTTTAAAAGGACAGTGCTATGGGAAAAACTCAAGTGTACAAGTGGTTTTCATGTTTCAAAAAAGGTAATATGTCGATTGATGACAAACCTCATTCTGGATATCTGTCAACTTCCCAGACAAAAATGTCCACAAAATTCTTACACTTGTGCTTGAAGACAGGCGACGGACCATTGAAGAGATGGGGAAGTTTTCTGGACTATCTTGGAGCTTGATTCAGCAAATTTTAGTAGAGATTTGGGAATGATAAGGGTCGCTGCAAAATTTGTGTCTTGAGTTCTGACTGGCCAGGGAAAAGAGCATCAAATGGAAACATGCTGTGCTTTGAAAGAACAGCTCCGAATTGACCCAGCCTTTTATCCAAGGTCATTACTGGTGAGGAGACGCAGTGCTATTCTTACAACCCTGAGAGCAAACATCAATCAAGCCAGTGGAAGACTCCATCATCATCTTGCCCCCAAAAAGCTCGTCAAGTGAAATCAAAGATCAAGACGATGCTCATTTGTTTATTTGATGGGAGGGGGATGGTGCACTTGGAGTTTGTTCTACCAGTCAGGCTGTTAGTCATGTGTTTTAGTTTGAGATTCTAAAAAGATTACATTGCAGCGTGAGACAAAAAAGGCCTGCTTTGTGGCAGATGGGGGACTGGTTTTGCCGCCACAACAATGCACCTGCTCATGCATCCATCTCAGTGCACCAGTTTTGGCAAAAAAGCAGCATGCCTCTCTTGCCCCATGCACCTTATTCACCTGACCTCACTCCATGCAACTTCTTTTTGTGTCCTCAAATGAGGATATGAAAGGACAGCGGTTTGATGACGGATGTAGAAGAGGTGCAGAAAAAATGAGGGAGGTGTTGTCAGCCATTCAAACAGATGAATTTGAAAATGTTTTCAAGAATGGAATCACAGATTTGACAAATGTATTAAGTATAATGGGGAGTACTTTGAAGGTAATAAGGTTGTTGTGACCTTCAGGATGGATGATGGCTCAATGGCAAAAAGACTCAAATTCTTACAACTGGCCTAATAGGAAACATCATGAGAAATGGAAAAAGACTGAAGTTGTCAAGGATTTCATCCTGTTTGGATGCACAAACAATGCTCAGGGGAACAGGAGTCAAGAGATCAAAAGATGTGTTGCTACACAAGACCTATTTAGAGTATTGGAAAGCAAGGGTATTACTTGAGGACTAAGATGTGTCTGATCTAAGCAATGGGATTTTCCATGGAATCATATGCATGTGAAATTTGGACACTGACCAAATGAGAACCAATGAAGAATCAACGCCTTTTAATTTTGGTGCTGGAGCAGAATTTTAAAAGTACCACAGACTGCTAAAAGGACAAAGCAATCTGTCTTGGAGGAAGTTTGGCCAGAGTGCTCCTTATGGGCAAAGACAGCAAGACTTTAACGTGCTTTTGTCTTACACACATATTGTCAGGAGACACCAGTCCCCGGAGAAGGATGTCATGCTTCGTAAAGTGAAAGGGCAGTGAAAAAGAGGAGGTGTTCAAGGAGATGGAATGACACAGTGGCTGCAACAAGGGGCCCAAGCGTCGAATATTTGTGAGGATGCTGCAGGACCGGGCAGTGTTTCCTTCTGTTGCGCACAGGGGTTCTATGGATCAGATCCACTCAATGGCGCTGAACACACACTCATGAACCAAAATCAATGTGATGGCAGTGAGTTTGGTTTTAGATTTTGGAAGATGAATAATAAAGGCTCCCATACTTGCTTTTATCCCTCATTGTTTTCCAGATGTATCATTAATCCAGTGTTAATCCATCTTTACATATAATACGAGGTAAACTTCCAATAGTACATCTTTCTTGAAAATTAAAAAAAAAAAAAAAGGTTGTGTAAAAAAAATTAAATACATAGCTTTGGAGGGGGGAAATTCTGTTTCTTGGGGGGTACACTCATATATATATATATATTAAAATGATAGTCTATATCATATAGATCTATCCCTGTCTTATTAAATATATTCCTAATATTATATAACATAATTCTTTGTCTAGATTCTAATTGCTGGAATAGAGAAACACTATTGGTTTTTGTATATGAACAATGGGACTTATTGTGGGAAAATGGAATTAGAAAATAATTGAATTTTTCCACCAACTTTTTAAAGTCGCTTCACATCAGCGGTTCTCAACCTGTGGGTCGCAACCCCTTTGGGGGTCAAGCGACCCTTTCACAGGGGTTGCCCGATTCATAACAGTAGGAAAATTGCAGTTATGAAGTAGTAATGAAAATAATTTTATAGTTGGGGGTCACCACAACATGAGGAACTGTATTAAAGGGTTGCAGAATTCGGAAGGTTGAGAACCACTGCCTTATATGTTTATTCTTTCTGTTATTCCCCCTACCAAATTCGCTTTGGACTATTGTGGGGTTTTGTTTGTTTGTTTCCCTTCCCTGAAGGTCATGGGTTTCTTTTGTATGGTCATAGCAGCAGTAAAACATAAAAGGTCC